ATAACTCTTAACTTTTCGGCTGCACATGTATTTCAGTCAACACTTTTGGACACCATGAAGGGACCCAGAGCAGACTTCTCTCCACCTGAGCTCTCCGAGGAACCGGAGCCTTGGTACCAGCAGTGGCCCTTTGTGCCCATCCTCCTCCTCGGGGAGTCCAGATGAATTTGGGTGAGTCTCTCCTGGTTCTCGGATCTCACATATTGGTTGATGATCCTGAGTTTTATTTGGCGGTGTATCCAGGTACCTGGCCCTCCAGTTGAAAGAGAATGGGGGGAATTACCCACCCAGTGGAGACATACTGGTTGGGGCCTGGTTGAAAGATAACGGGAAATACCCAGTGGAGACGTTCCGAGTAGGTCCAAGTTGAAAGACACTGGGTTCAGGACTGAGCGGTTAGGTAAGAAGCTGGACTAATGCTTTCTTCAATTTGGTTACCTCCACTGAATTTTTCAGAATACAAGTGAAACTTTTAGGAGGAACCTTTCAACTCCAAAAATGGGACCCTCCCCCTAACTGTTAACAGCTTTCTCGGGTGACTGAGAAACTTGCAGGAGTGGTAGAGGCAAAGACTTCGTGCCATAGAGTTGTCCCTGCGGGAAAACCTACTAGCAATTTTATTCTGACAACCCGACCTTAGAATGGGGAATAGAACTTTGAAAAAAAAAGGAAAAGGAAAGAAAGAAAAGAAAAAGAAATGACAGATTTCCAGCCTCCAACTAATACCTCAGCCACGTTTATATACGTACAAAACTTACAACTTTAATTGGGAATAAAAAAAAAAAAGAAAATCTCACTCTGAAATTAAGTAACCAGGAATGATAAAAACATTTTTTGGAATTCTGAACTTATAAAAACAAAAACCCGTTTAGGGGTAACTTGGATTTCTCTTCCTATGTCCTTGAAATCTAAACGTTTTTATCTTTCTCTGGGTATTTTATTTTTGTGTGTGTATGTATATATGTGTTTCCTATTTTTTAATGGAAAACTTGGACTCTGCCATGCAAAAAGTACAAGTATTGTGTACATATGGTGGCCACGCAAATAAATTGGGATTCTCAAAAATCCTTTTATAGTACCAATTTTCAGGCATTTTGCCATCTTAACCTTTGTTGCATCACAAAGGCCTTTACATTTTGGAGAGTAAACTTTTGATTTTTATTTAGGCAACACCCCCACTCTCATGTGGAAAGGCCTTTTCATCTTATTCGTTTAAAATCACTATATATATATAAATTGATGGCCATATGATGGATCCTATAATTTGGAAAAATTTAAATTGGTGAATGTTGAAAGAGCTCTCATTATAAACAGCTGTTTTATTGTTACCTGTTAAAATCAATTTTAAAAGTAGAAAAATATATCTAATGGTTAACCTAAGAATTTAGTTAAAAAAAAAACTGGTTTGAAAAGCTACATTTGTGTTTTTCCTTTCCCATCAATGGTTTTAGAGATGCTAATAAAAACTTATAATAATTAATGTTAATTAGTTTGAGTAACTGGAAAAAGGAATTTAAAACTGTCGAAAGATTTTTTCTTAATGAAAAAAAAAAAGATAAAGGGCTTATCCCAAATGGGTAAATATTTTTAAATGGTTATTTTGAATGAGATAAGTAAAATGGACATTTTTGGATTTAAATACAAGGTTTGATAGTACACTATGTAAATTTAAAAAAAAAAAGACCAAAGAGATCAACTACTGCCCCCCCAACATTAAAGTTCAAACAAGTCCGTTTTATTGAAACTTGACGATCCCAGAGATTTCTCTATAAAATTAGATATAGTGCACAAAAAAAAAAAAAAAAAAAAGGAAAAAAGAAAAAAAGAAAAGAAAAAGAAAAAAGTAAAAGGCTTCTGGCACTCATTCTAGAAATAAGAATTATTGATTAAACCTAATAGATATTAAAATTAAAGGTATAAGAGTTAATAAAATTTAGATAAAACTTTGTAAAATTGGTATATTTAAATGGACTTTATATAAACATTTTGCTTAATTATATTGTGGGATAGATATATTTCAATGGAAAAATGCTTCCCTTCTTGGTATTATAAGGCTGGGCACATATCTGTCCCTCAGAAAATAGTAACTGAATAAGCTAACGGAAACCAATAGAGTTACATGAGCCGTCCAATAAAACGTAAAACTAAAAAGTAATATTGAGTGGCTAATAAAATAATACAAGAGTTTTAACCTGGGTTTAACTTATAACTCAAGGAAAAGAGACCTTACTGAATGCCTTATGCAAGCTTTGGAAAACATGATAAAATAAACCTTAAAGTTTTAAAACATGGAATTCTTTGTTTACAGTTCTTGTCACTGATACAAAAAAGCAAGTTAAGGAGATACAAATGGGCCTAGGTGACAGAGCAGTTATCTAGGGAACTGGAAGCATCTGTCTTTGTCTTGCCGATCAGAAATGTAAATACAGCAAACAGTGACCTAAGACTGAGCTTAATTAGCTCAACAAAACAAAATTAAGGCCAAAATTTTTTTGGCATTTTAGAACTCAGAGCTCTGACGGGTCCTTCAGACTTTGTCAAGAAATCTTAAATGACTTTTTCAAAACTAGTAAGCCTTAGTGATTTGAGCCAGCAAATTCAGCTTACTCCAACTATTGTTATACCTATGTCATAGGTAAGTTTTAAAGTGAAGCTTTGAGAGTTTTAGTTTTTGTCTATTTATAAGCCTGCATATGCATTATAGATATGAGATATTTCTACGGCTAAAAAAAAAAAAATCAAAGTCAAAGAGCTCTGCTTAATTGACGTAAAAAATGAGAGCTTACAAATTAAGTATTTTGAAAATAAAAACTGACCAAATTGACCTTCAGGTTCACGTGAACTGGAAAATATTCAACATTACGATAATACTTTTGTAATAAGTTTAAGTATGTTCTAATTAATATAGACACCTTTAAAGTCATCAATATTAAGTATAATACACTTACTGTACCTAGGTTTAATGAAAGTCAAATAAGATCCTGTTATACGTGTTGCAGATTTGTCAAAAAAAAATAGTAATCTGTTGTGATAAAATTTTAAGTAAATTAAATGCAAATGAGAAGAGAGCTTTGGGTAAATTCTTAAAAATGTATTTTTGAAATGTATGCTTAATATAATCTCTAAATGTTTGGTATCTTTAAATTCTAGAGTTATGCTAAATTAAGTTAAATGAGAGAATTTTATTAAATAGCTATGCGACTTTGAGAAAAAATAAGATTGATATGTGAATTACTTAACATGTAACTTCCTCTTACAGAGAAACTAAAGGTGTTTAGAAATATTAATAAATGGTTGGTGCCACCCTGAAATAGTCTCTATTATTAATGGAAAGATCTAAGTATCCTAGGAAATTAAGATAAATGTGTAAAGGAAGATATAAGAATGGAATTATATTTTGTTTATGAAACATAGTGACTTTCTTCAGAAGCTGGTTATTTCTGAATGGAAGAGAAAATAGGGGACACACTAATATGAGAATAGAAAGCTATGGAAGGCTTGTGGAAGAGAAACCCTAAGGAAAGTGTTTTGTACGTGGTCGGAATTGGCTAAGTTTAGAATCAATTTGGGCAAAGTAACGGAATCTTAGAAGTAAACTAGTACAAGACTAGATTTGGTTTTC